TCTTTTTACCCTGTTCATTTCATGAAAACATTTGTCAGGCAATTTAGATTGATTTTAGGACCTTTCTCCTAACATGTGAGGTGATCAAGCGAGTGCATAATCAGAAACGATCAGCAGTCAAGAACACAACAATTTATGCAGCCTAAGGTTCTAACCTTAACTAAGTCAGATGACATTCAAACACAACTCATGCGATTGTAATAAAAACATGCATAATAACAACGCAAGGGTAATAAAAATAACATGCAAAATATTATCACACAAACTCAAGCTTGTCTAATTTAAATAAGACAATAACATACATAATAATACAGTAATAAATTAAAATATTTAGATACATCACATAATTTTAAAAAGGATCTTTTTTTCTCTTTTCTTTTTAAAAAAATTTTTTTTTTTTGAATTTTTTTGAATTTTTTTCGAAGAAAAAAAGAAAACAAAGAAAAAAAATAAATAAAAAAATAAAAAAATAATAATACAGAAGAAGAAAAGAAATAAAATAAAATAATTTTTTTTTAAATTTTTTATTATTTTTTTAATGAATTATTTTTTTAAAAAAAATAAAATAATATAATATTAAAACCCCCCCGGGTCGGGTCTGCGGATCCGGGTCGATCGGATCCGACCCGGGTCGATCGGATCCGACCCGGGTCAACAGACCCGACCCATTGTGCTGACCGGGTCGGATTTCCGGATTCGACTCGGGTCAAAGGGTCAACCCGGGTCATTGATCCGAGTCTGGACCGGATCGGGCCCGGTTGGGCCCGGTCCAAGGGAAAAGGACAAAATAGGGCCGGTTCGACCGGGTCGAACCGGCCCAGATGGCCTGAACCGGTCTGCAAACCGGCCTGACCCGGTCTGCGGACCGGTTCAAACCGGTTCTCACGTGCATAAGGCACGCGGGACCGTCGGCCGGCAAGATCCGGCGTCTTGCCGGCCGACCCAGACCAAATCCGGCGCGGTTTTCACCTCCTGGAACACCCACTAAGCTCCTTCAGTCACCCAACTCGCCGTCCGGCCACGCACTCGCCGGCCGGCGACCAAAATCAAACCTGTTTCACTGGGGCGTTTCGTCGAACACCTGGCGTGCGCAGCAAAAAACGAAGGATTTCGACCTCTCCCGGCGACCCGGCCGGCTCCGACGATTGTGGTTCATCTTCAACAGCGAGTGGGGGCCGGAAACAACGTCGGTATGGGCCGGGATTCGCGCGAAACGGCCGGCGCGAGTCCCGGCCAAACCGAGCCAACAATCAGGGGAAAACGGGGAGCTTCGCGGCCGAGGGGGGCTCACCGGTCGACGGCGCGTCTGGGCGGCTTCCGGCTAGTCTGGCGGCGTCGACGACCGTTGCTGGTTCTTCTTTAGCTCCGGCGGATTCTCGGCTCCGTCTCTCTCCCTCTATTCTCTCTGTGTTCTCTCTCTCGGTTTCTCTCTCTTTTTCCCTGAAAATGGCCGACCCACTCTCTCTCTCTGTGTCGCCGCCGTCGTCTCGGCAGCGGGGATGGGTGGATGAGGCGCGGTGGCTGCCGGAGGCTCCCTGTCTCTCACGCTCTCTCTGTATTTTTCTCCAAAAATGGCCGACCCTCTCTCTCTCTCTCTCTTTCTGTCTTTCATAGCCGACGACGACGAGTCTGGGCCCGGCCGCGTCGGCGTGACGATGGCCTGCACCGGCCTACGCCACCCCACGACTTTCGTGGCTATGGCAGGCCGGTGCAGAGCAGGGGGGCCGTTCAATGTGCAGAGACAGAGAGGAGAAGGAGAGAGAGAGAAAGAGAGAGATCGGGAAATGGGGGGAGAAGGGACTGGCCTTAATGGCCAGTCCCTGTGGCGTGCTGCCCCGGTCCTGCTCTGGCCGGATGGGGACGGGGCGAGGCTGCTTCGCCGCTCGCCGATCTGCGTCAGCAACATGGCAGAACAGGGGAAGGAGAGCGACGGGGGGAGAAGGAAGGAGGAGAAGAGCTGGGCCGGGCCAGGCCCAGTCGCGCGAGGGGAAGAAAAAGGAAAGAAAAGCGGGCCGGGGGCCCGTGCGGGGAGGAGGAGAAAAAAGAAAAAGAGGGCTGGGCCGGCCTTGGCCTGGCTCGATCCGATTTTTTTTTTAAAATAATTTTTTAATTTTTTGAAAATTAATTAAGAAAATATGCTCTAAGAGACCCTATTAATGCAAATATGCCTAATGTCTATATGCAATGCATTTAAATAGAAATTTTTTTGTTTTAGGAATTAAAGAAAATTAATTCCTAAATTTTGTGTAATTAATTTTTGTGCAAATTAAAAATAGGTGTCAACAACGTTACACTGAGTTCATATGCGTAAGTGAGACTAACGTACGGGGCTTCCACGTTAGCCTACAAAAGGTGGGCTTGGATAGCGATTTTGGTGTGAACTCAATTATAGAATATCTCTGAATTTGCATGCACGACGAGACTCTCTATAGAAGCAAGTTTAAGATCTCTCTTCTTCACTAAATCAACCACATTATAACGTTAGTTCTCAAATTTAAACATATGATGATGTACGTGATGACTAGGGGTGTAAACGGTTCGGTTCGGTTCGATTTTCTTGAAAAATCGAACCGAACCGAACCATTAAGGGTGCCTCCTTGAACCGAACCAAATAGGAACCGAACCGAATTGGAACCGAACCGATAAACCGATTCGGTTCGGTTCGGTTTTCGATTTCTTCTTCTTTTTTTTTTGTTTTTTTTTGCTTTTTTATTCATGGCTCGGTTTTCTGTTTTTATGAAAAAAATTTCATGATAATTTTTTTATGATAATTTTTTGATAATAATATGTATTTATGATAATTTTATGATAATTTTTTATGATAAAAAATTAAGAAAGCTCTAGAAATTTCATCACGTTGTAGGAAAAGATAATGGCTTCAGTAGATTATGTATACTTAAGAAACCATAGATTATGAAAAAAAGATAATTTTATGATAATTTTTATGATAATTTTATGATAAAGGACTGTACATGTTTCCCTTGATGCAGTTGAATGGTGTTGAGCCTGATGAGTCAGTGCTGGTTAGCACACTCTCTGCTTGCGCTCACTTGGGGGCTCTGGATACTGGTATTTGGATTCACAGGTTTGTCAACCTGTGGCGGTTGACATTGAGTTCTCGACTGTGTACCGGTCTCATAGATATGTATGCCAAATGTGGGTATATAGACATAGCCAAGAAACTGTTTGATGAAATGCCTGAAAAAGATAATATTTGCTGGAATGCTATGATTTCAGGATATGCAGTCAATGGTGACGGAGAGAGTGCACTCAAGCTGTTTACAGAGATGGAGAATGGTGGCATTCGACCAGATGACATCACATTCATTTCCATCTTCACTGCATGCAACCATTCAGGTTTGCCACGTGAAGGTCTGAGACTGTTGTATAAAATGTTGACAGAGTACAAAATTGAGCCTAAGAGTGAACACTATGGTTGCATAGTTGACCTCCTCTGCCAAGCAGGGTATTTGGAAGAAGCAAAGGAAATACTCCTGAAAGTTCCAAGAAGTGGCTCATTTGAAGAAGCTATTGCTTGGAGAGCTTTACTCCAAGCTTGCTGTAAGCAAGGAAACTCGCAGATGGCTGAGTTTGCAGCTGAGAGACTTGTGCAGCTGGAATGTCACAGAGGAAATAATAAAGAGTGAAGGAGTTCAACTACACAGTAACAGTGTTTAAACCCTCCGACATGTTCACAAAAATGAGAAATCAAGGTCCCAAACGCTCCGACATGTTCACAAGATGAAGCATCTTCAGCAGCAAGGTTGGCCACCACCTTCACAGCATGAATCCGTACATTGGCATCATCTGACTCCAGGAGAGACAACCTTTTCTGCAACCCCACTATAGATTTGGTTTTTTAGTTGATGAATTAGAAATGTGCAATTTTTGAGCCTTTCTTTTTTAAAAATAATCGAATAATGGACTAGCTGCAAAAAGAATACATAATCTCTAGTACTCACTTGCTTTCTTTACACATCAAGGAGATGACTACTTCTATTTTATTCGTCAATCATCAAGGGAAACCAATATCGAGTTCAGCTGCGCAGTCACAGTTGACAACTCTACATTAAATTCACAATAAAAATGAGAATTGAAGTATCTATTGCAATATTAAAGGATATAAAATATTCCACGATAATTTTTTCTCACCTGACTCAAAATTTTCGAGTTCTTCTAAGTCCTCCTCAATCGAAAGTGAAAGTGGTGTGGATCGTAGCCAATCTTGAGTACATATAAGAGCCTCCACCATGCTTGGGGTCAAGGAGCTACTCTGTCCTTTTATAGTGTTCCCAAGCAGAAGATCTCGTCCTCCTTCTATTTGTGCCACTAGATTCACTCATTGAAGTAGACATCTACCAATCTATGACAATTAAAACCTGAAATTATTATAATTCAAGTGGTTGTGTCAAGTTAACAAACTTTGTATGACAAGCAAATACTTAATCCAAATAAAAGCATAATAGAAGGGGTAGCCATTAAAGCACCAAGACAGAAGTTGCTAAATAGTTATGATAAATGAACTAAATCAAGAATATGCTGTGACATTAAGCCAAGTGAACCGAGCATGCTAATGTATATAAATGTATGGATGTACAGAGTTCTTAGTATAGATGTGAGATAGTAGCACCATATGTAGCCAAAGACAGCCAAGATCAAAACATTGTGGTGAAAGCGTGCTATATCACATTTACAAAGTAGGCTAGTCATCACGAGAGATAGAAAGCACTATTAATTATTTGTATTGCAGCACCAAAAAATGGTCCTGTTTTTAGTCTCTGGCATTGATGAATATAAGGAGTTTCATTATATGTACTGGAATTTGTCCCAGTACATACCTATTACTATAGATCCAAATTGAGTAAGAAGATGATCTAAATTACGTTTTCCAGCAACAGATACTTCACTGAAGATTCACATGATAGAATCAAATAGAGCATCCTAAGTACAAAAATATGCAGGACACGTAGAGACATCAAATAGCTATTCTTTATCAGGCATTGTCAACTAAATAATCTCATAGTCCAGAAGCTGAGTCACTCACATTTAGTCAGGAAACTAAAATTCACAAGTTGACTCTGACAAGGGATGGACTTTAAAGTGACAGAAGTTAAGCGAACTCATCGTTACAATCTTGCGTGAATTTAGAGCATGAGGTGTGATTGAATTAACACTACAGCCCCCGTTAGTGAATTCACAGAGTAACTACTGCAAAGTGCGAACACAGAGAAAAAGCCGCAAGCTATTCAAGAAAATGAAAAAGAAGTGCCGCATACTCTACCTGGATATAGTAATTTGTACCCCCAACTATGACTGGCAAGTTATTCCGAGACAAGATCTCATCAATGAGCTGAAGTTCGGGAAAAACACAAAAGTTTCAATCTCATCAAAACAAAGTTAATCAAATTCAACATGTCACCGTCGGTTTAAGGAAGGCGAACCCACAGGAACAGCAGGGTCCCTAAACGCCTTGGCCGTGAACTCCACGTTCGGGCTCATGGTGCCCAAAAGATGATGAGGCACTCCTGCACAACACCCACCCAAATTCGTGAAAAACAGCTCCGAAACGGACCATGATCGAAAAAACATCCCGGCGCGCGCGAGTAGAAAGCGCCAGAAGGCAAGAGGGTTTCGAGGGAACACCTTGCTCTACCCAGAAAAGGAACTCATACCCAGAAAACAACTTTGCAAGACCAACTTTGTCAGCCCAATCTGCTTGAGCACAAAATGACAAGAACCGACCCAATCGCACAGAGCAAGCACAATGGAGTATGAGAGCGAAAGAAGAAGACCGTACACGTAGAAGGGTGTCCGGAAATTGATTTGAAACTTCGACCCACGAAACTTCGGTCTCTGCTCTCGATCGAAGGGCGAGCAGAGACCTTGAGCTTCCTCGAGCGAGCGACGGTCTCTGCTCTCGATGGAAGGGCGAGCAGAGACCAGGATCGTCGCCTTCAGTTCTTGGAGCGACGGCCTTCAGTTCCGTCGTCGTCGTCGTCGCGGCCTTCAGATCGGAGGAGACGGAGCAGATGCAGGAGCCCTAAAACCCTTTTTAGTTTTACTTAGGGTAAAAGCAGAAGACAACGAACTGAACGAGGGGTTTATTTTCAGTTCGGTTCGATCCAAACCGAACTGAAATAAACCGAACTGAAAAAAAAAAGTCGGTTAATTTAGATAATCCGAACCGAAAACCGAACCGAACCGAAATGCACAAAATTTTCGGTTCGGTTCGATTCGTATCTCGGTTCGGTTTTTCGGTTCGGTTCTGACACCCCTAGTGATGACATTCTTCATCGCACTTATACGTGCTATAACCACGCATTCCCTTCTTTTAGTCTCCGTCTCTCGCCATTCAAGTTCTCCTCGCATCAACATTTCTAGGGTTTTTGTCAATAATCGCTAATTTTCAGTCTCAATGCAATGAACACTATAGGGGAGTATCAGATCTAAGTAGTTTAAAGAAGGCAAGTAAGGTTGGTGATTTTCCTGAAGACCCATGTGAAGTCTGATCATCTCCCTACGTAAACTAAACCCCGCAGCAATAGATTCGTTCTATAAATATGCTGGAATGGAAAGAGCTGAATCACTGTAATTAGATTCGTTCCGTATGTAATCAGTGTGCATAAGTAATTACATGACTAATTACATGTAAGAGCGATGCTCACAGCTTCCGTTTTGGCAAGAGTTGTGAAAAGAGGGAACTTAATTCGATGAGTACTTTGACCACATGTAGAAATAAAAGGTTGCCCGTTCATTTGCGTTTGACGACCACTGGCTCTTATTCATTCTACTATTTCATATGCATAGTATGTCAGCAATCTGCTACCATTTCGTGCATTCTTTTTTCAAGCATCGGCTGTTTGTATTGTCAACCTAAGTACATGTACAAGAAGAGCGTTAAGATGATAGAACATTTTATGAATCGTGCGCGCCGCATTATGATGAATTATGCTCTATACATATATATTCGAGCATATATTATATATGTATGTTCGAACTCAAAGCTACACAAGGGCTCAATAATTAGAATTCTGTGGGTGAGAGGGCCAAGTTCGAGCAGATGGTCATTTCAGATGTCGAGATGGTGGTGTAGACGGTATTGCCATGGGTCAATTTCGTGAGATCTGTATCATTCAGCTTGATGCCACCCCTGAAATTTTCCCGTCACGGCACGCTTCTGTAATCACTTTGTTTCGCTTTGGTATTTACTGGTTTTTAGCGCTCTGTAATCATGTGGAATTGTGCTTGGAAGAGAGCGAGACGTTCCTTTCTATATACGTACACGAAGCCTTTTTATACAGTGCTCTCGTGTGAACTAATTTCCTTCATTGATTAGGGTGATTGTGACGTGAAACCACAATGAGTTTCGGTGGTCAAATAGCTTTCGTAGCCATCACATTGTTCTTTTTTTGTTTTTGTTTTTTGCGAATTTAAAAATGTAAAGTAGCTATTTTTTTTCTACGTAATTCAGGGGCACGGGTATCAAAACCCGACCGACTAACTAAACATCCTACAAACGCCGTAAACCGGTTAAATCTAGGCCTTTTGCCTAAGTAGGTAACCCTAGCCCAAACAGTTGATGGGATTTGAATTGATGATCTCTAGTTTATAAGTTGGAAATCTTCCGTGTCCTAATCAACCACGTCAATCTTGACAGGTCGATGTAAAGGAGCCAATCATACAGGGAAGAAGCGTATGATGCGAGAACAACATGCGATGGTCAAACGAAAAGTATTGTATTGCATGAAGCATGCTACACGAAGAGAAACAGCACACCATTGGACGCCTACTTTTGCCCATAAAACGAAGGAAAAGACCTTTATAATTAGCACACCGTCTTTCCTTCAATTGATCTCTCCCCATCTATATTTTCATTTCTTTTCTACGATAGTTAATTCAATCGATGACTCTATGTACGCATAATTGCGGCATGTCACGTTGGTTGCCCCATTCGATATGGAATATTTAGTAAGAATTCGGTACATGTAGCATTATTCTTTTTTCCAAGGATAAGTTATGCGGAAACACTTCATGATTAAGATCATTAAGATTTCACAATTAGTAGCTAATGGATTACTTATGTACAAGATAATCAGCTTATCTTTCTAAATGTGCGCTTGTCATATTCATGCAACACCGGGGGTGTTGAAATTAATCATTTTATACCACGAGAGAGCTTTCACTGGGTTTTACTACCATAAAGCACGACCTCGTACCTATTCATGACATCTTGTTTCAAACACTTTCTTGACAGATTCCTTGTTTTGGAGCTCTAAATGGAACAAATGCCGGCAGCATCTTCTGAACAAACGAGAACAGACCAATCTGTATTTGCCTATGTCGTGTAAGCTACGTGTAGTTTCATTGTCGGTCCACGTTGTCGCGTACTAAAGGTCGTAATTTTAACCCCCAACGTGGCTTTCACGGTAGATTACGATCATAACATAAAAGCTTAGTAATTATTTTAAGAGAGATACGACCCTAAGCATAAGGCAGTAAAAAGATATTCTATTTCTCATTAGAGGACATAATTTAAACACTAATATCTTCTCATGTTAGTCTTGATATCCCGTCATTATATGATTGATGATTTTGATCGATTTCAGAGTGCCCAGAAATATTTACTCTTTTGAGGATCGAATACTTGCTCGTAACGCGTAAGGCACGGAAATTGCGGGATGATAGTGATTTTTGATTAAATTACACAAATGAAGACTATGAGTCAACAAAAGGCAAATTGAATAGTTAAGCGCTTTTTTTATTTAGAGCCAACTTGGAGCATGAGAGACTCTATATAAGCACCTCCAAGCTTTCTTCTCTCGTCACCAAATCAACTTGAGCGTTCAATTTCGAGAGTTGAACAATGAAGTACTCTGTGGCTCTCTTCCTAGCTCTTCCAATTGCCATAAGCATCACCCTCTTTTCTTCTCCATCACGGGCCATCTCCTCATGCAATGGCCCTTGTCAAACCCTAGATGATTGCACCGGCCAATTGATATGCATCAACGGAAAGTGCAATGACGATCCCGACGTAGGCACACACACATGTCCCAATACTCCATCACCGTCCGGCGGGGGATGTCAGCCCTCGGGCACTATGAGCTGCCAAGGCAAGTCCTACCCTAAATACCGTTGCTCGCCTCCGGTAACGTCTTCCACTCGAGCAACCTTGACGAACAATGATTTCAGCAAAGGCGGTGATGGCGGGGGCCCGTCGGAGTGCGACGACAGTTACCACAAAAACTCAGAACTGATTGTTGCACTGTCGACAGGGTGGTATGCCGACGGGTCTCGATGCGGGGATAGGATTAAAATAACATCTACGAAGACCGGGAGGAGCGTAATGGCCAAGGTGGTCGATGAGTGCGACTCTATGAATGGGTGCGATGATGAACATGACGATCAGCCGCCGTGTAGGAATGACATTGTCGATGCTTCAAACGCGGTGTGGCATGCTTTGGAGTTGGACATAGAAGTGGGTGAAGAGGATGTTACATGGTCCATGGGATAGAAGTTCTTGCGTTTTCCTTCCCCAGAGACGATCGATATAAGGATAAATAAGATCTGGGGTCGATGGTTGTTGATTGGTGTTCCGTAATATGTTTGAGGCTGTGCGTGTAATGCAAAATAGTTAGTCAGGGCAATAGAACTGTAAACGAAACTAGGGATATGCTTGTACGAGAAGATAATATGCAAAATGTTGAAAAATTATGTAAGTAGTAGTAGTATTACTGTGCTTGTCCTTTAAAATATATTATAGTCTCTTGATTTATATATTTGAATAAAGGCACACGAGATGTTCGAATTATCGCCAAATGTTCAGTCAGGTCTCTCGACTTTTTTTTGGGTGTAATTAGGCATTTAAAGTATATACTCTTTGTTTGACTTGATGGTCTTTCCATTGAAGTTATAAATGGAGATGTTGACGTGGTATTTATGTGGTATTTAAAATATATGAAATTATTTTCAAAAGTTCAGGAAAATTAAAATTTGAAAAGTAAATAAAAATCTGACAAAAAGAATAAAAACAAACGAGAAGGAGTGGAGATGTAGTTGCAATTGAGGCGGAGGCGGCATTGCCGCCACCCCTTCATCAGCGAGGGGTCAGTGTCCCTAGTCGTAGTCAGGTGAAAACGATGTGGCCCTCGCCGCCACCGCTGAGAAAGCAACATGAGAGTGTGAGGGGGCAAGTTAGTTCGGTGAGGTCATGACTCTCAATAGTCTCGCCACTTGCCGGCGACGTTTGCCATGATCTCGCTGCTATCATCACTCCGGCGATGAGGGCCGTGACCCTTGTTCAAATTTGTAGCGAGGGAGTGACCCTCGGCCATTCTTGAGGGTTGGTGGCCGTCGCCGCTGCCTGCACATTGAAGAAGATCGAAGAGGGCAGTGGTGCTCGACCGTGAGGTGATGGACATTGTGAAGCTCGCAGGACTTGAAGTGGCGCGTGTTCGTAGACAGCTTGTTGAAGAAGCATCTGCGAGCTAAGAGTGCAGAGGTGAGCAAAGAATCCTTTCGTCCAGTTTGAGGCAAAACTAAAAGGAGACTGCTCCATTTCTCCAATATCGGGATTAATTTCTTCAAGGTAGATTGATTTCGTCTAATTTTAAGCAAAACTGATGCATTTCTCCATGATGCAGTTCAAGAAAGAAGCGTATGCGCGACAACAGCATGCGATGGAACGAGGAGAATTGTAGTGCATGAAGCATGTTACATGAAGAGAAACAGCCCACGATTTGCCCCAAGGTCCTTTAGATATGGGTCAACCGAATATGGTGTAAACGTCAAGGGCATCTTGTGTAAAGTTGGATAGGACATCCATTGCCACTTTGGGTAGAAAAAAGATGGTAAGATAGGAAAAGAAATTTCCTTCAATTGATCTTGCCCCATCTATATTTTCTTTTCTTTGTACAATCTTGATTTCATTGATGACTCCACGTACGCATATGCGATGACATGGTGCATGCCCCGTAAGTCGCCATGTCATTTGATAA